CCCTCAGTACTGCATGCTGTGCCAGCTCCAGAGCCCCAGGTGTGCTGGCCCCAAAACCAGGCATGGTGGACACACACCTGTAATTCCAGCACTGGGGAACCTGAGGCAGGAGGATCGCTACAAGTCCGTGCTTGTAGCAAGACCATTATCAACAAGAAAAAAAGAGCATCTGACAATTGAGCAGATACAACAAGGAGCAGCGAGTTCAAAGATGTATCAAAAGCCAAAGTGTACCGCGCTGGACGCAGAGGTGGCCCCAGGTGAATGGACTGGTGAGAGGGCGAATGAGAGGCGCTCGCGGCAGAGGACTTGGTGTTGACCGAGTGAAGCATTAGGGCTTGATCTAAGGTTTTACTCTTGTCTCCCTTTCCACTGGAGAGTGGAGTTTTGGCGTTTTTGCCCTCATGTGGCTGCTGGAGGAACTTTCATGGTTTCCCAAGGCCACAGGGCAATGGGCTCAAGTGTAGCTAAGCACATGGTAATTAGGGCTGGGTCAACCTCGGCTTGCTGAGGAGCACAGGCTCCATGACCAGAAACTGTGTATGAGTTGGGTTAGCGGTACTTTTGCTTTTTAGACCAGGTCATCCTGGGCCTGGGTTGAAGCTTAACTCAGAAGGTGGATCTAGCCTGCAGAGTGGGCTCTGAGGCGGCCCCCCTTTCTTTCTCCAGCCAGTTCTTTGCTACCTCCTGTGTCAGTTTTAGACAAAAAAAGTGCTGAAGAAAGTTACTTTCTCTAGACAGCAGACAGAGTGGCAACACTAGATAAGCAACCATTGGTTAGCACCAGCCTTCTTGAGGTTAATGTGTAAAACACCCTGGTTAAAACAGAAAATTTGTTGTGCCAACCGAAAGTGTCTCGTGTGGGACGCTTCACTATTTCTTTCTCAATTTCTCAGAAGGTCGAAAAACTTCCATTTGGTGACATGAACTTGAGTGTGTGGTGACCCCACTTTGATTTTTAAAGATTTCTTTTTTCCTTTTGGTACTGGGAATTGACCTCAGGACCTTGTGCTTGCCAGGCAGGTGGATATGCCACTAAGTTAAATCCCTGGTCCTGCTGCGGAGAGATGCTTTACATTTGCAATCACTACCAGGTAACGCCCATAGTTGTTCTCAGGGTCTGATTCAGCCGCCCTGTCGAAGTGTGACGGGCAGATGATGTCCATGTGGCAGCAACATGACTGCTTTCCTGCTGACAGAAATTTACACAGGAAAATCTGTATGACAGTAAGCAATTTGTAAAATGTAGTCTTGGGTAACAGTTTTGTAAACTCCTTTCTCCTAATATCAAATAGCCTCCAGAGAAAGTTGTGGCCCGTGGAGTCTGCATGTGCTCCTCACATAGCATCTTCTCCAAGGAAACTCTCTTTCCCATGCTCCTTCCATCTCACTGTTTTAGGTCAAAACAAAATGTAGGAGGAGAAAAGAGAAGTGCTAGGACAAGGGCAAGAAGAGAGATGAAAACAAAATGTGGAGACTAAGACATTGACAAAATTGGAGAAAAAAATCATAAACACACCAAGTTTAGTAGTCATTTTGGTACTGAGGTGGCCAGCATTTTAACTGAATTACAGGTACAGAGGATAACTGAAGAACAAGTTTCCATTCCTGAGTAAAACAAAACCATACTCAGAATGATGAATTTTTCCTTTAAACTAATAACGTTAAAATGACAGAATAAAGAACTAATTAAAGTTCCTGCAAGCAGGCACAGGGGCCAGGGGTTCGATCCTCAGGCCTGCTGTGCCAGCCCCACCCCTGGGGTGCACTGAGACGGCAACTGAGACTGGGCATGGTGGCGCATGCCTGTAATCCCAGCACCTGGGAGGCTGTAAACAGGCGGATCACCACGAGTCCGATCTAGTAGTGAGACCCTGAACACCCTATAGACCCTTCCCTAAAATATAAAAAAAAAACCCCAAACCCCCAAAACCCTGTAAGAACTGGGTGGGGTTCTTACAGGGCTGGCACAGCAGGTCTGAGGATCGAACCCCTGGCCCCTGTGCCTGCTTGCAGGCGCTTTAATCAGTTCTTTATTCTGTCATTTTAACGTTGACTATTGGTTTAAAAGAAAAATTCATCATTCTGAGTATGGTTTTGTTTTACTCAGGAATGGAAACTTGTTCTTCAGTTATCCTCTGTACCTATAATGCCAGCACTGGGGAAGCTGAGGAAGGAAGATCATCACAAGTTTGGGGTGACTTGAGGCTCCCAATAGTGAGTTCCCGCCAGTGACATAGTGAGATTCTGTCTTGAAAAAATAATGGAAGATTTGGGTGGTACATTAGTCCATTAATAGCCCCAAAGAGTCAATTTTCCAGGGTCCGTGTTCTTTTAATTAGGAGAAAAGAAATAAAAACAGGCAGGAGACAAGGAAAATTGTAATTTAAAGCTTGTACTTTTTTTTTTTTTAATTTATTTATGGGGGGGGCAGCTCAGCCCACCGGGGGGGCGGGCTGGCTGGCATGTGGTGCTGGGGGATCAAACCGCGGTCCCTGTGCTTTGCCAAGCTTGTTCCAAGTAGGTGCTTTAGACCACTGAGCCATCTCACCAGCCTCAAAAGCTTGTACTTCTAAGAAGGAAGCACCTTCAGGAAACAGTCATCCAGCTGTTTCACATCTTACTATGTACTCTCATTCCGCAGGCTCGTCTGTGGTCACAGACCTTGTTCTGCACGCCCAGCACACTTAGCCCCTGCAGTGTGTGAGGCTAACCTATTTCAGGGTAAAGAGCAGCAATACGACCTTACGGGGAAAAAGCAGACTCAAGAGGCTCCAAGACTGTTTTTAGGCAAATGGTGCAGACCACTCGGTTTAAAGGCTACCTACCTCCAAGAACACACGTATACATGCCCAAGTCCCAGGCCACGGCGCAGCCCTCTAGGACCTATCATCTGAATATGGATTCCCAGCCTGCTTAATAAAGCCTATGCCTCTCACCGAAGCGTCCTGAAAATCTCTATGTGATGACGGTCAACGAGCTACCAAGGGGAGCCGGGCACAGTGGCATATGCTGGTAATCCCAGCACTCTAGGAAGCTGAGGCAGGAGGATGACAAGTTTGAGCCCAGTCTGGGCGGGTGAGCAAGACTGTCTTAAAACATTCACAGAGGGCTGGAGATACAGCTAAATATGAGGGTCCTGGGTTCAAACTCAAGTACTGTATCACCAAAAGCAACACACACACACACACACACACACAGCATCACTTACTACTAGTGGGTGGGAACTCCCATCTGGTGAGCTTCTTTCCACAGTGACTTTGGCTTTAGTCCATTGCCTTTTGATCTCTTCTCCTTCCAGCCAATTCGCTGCTGGAGTCACAGGCTGCAAGTGCATTCCCACTTTGGGCTTCCGGCGCTGAGAACTGCAGTGGATATTTGCATAGCACCAAACCTGGCTCCTTCACCCTTTATTCATGTAACCTCAGCGAAGCCTTTCCTGTCTCCTCTAAAACCTCAGAACTCCTTGGCTGCACTAGTCTCCTTCAGCAATGATCACCGTCTAGGGGAGTAATGCAAATGTGTTATCACTTCAGCTGTCCCCTGGCATGTAAGCTCCTCAGTGCAGCTAATTTTGTTTTAAGTTGTCCCCTCAGTCTAACACACGAGTACTGAAGAACAACCTAGGCAATGAATCAATCCCGATTAGCACACAGAAACTACTGAGAAATCTGGCAACCTGCCCAAGATCACAGAGGCTACAGTTAGCAAAACTGGATTCCAATGTAAGTCTGCCTCCCACACGCAACATAGCAATTTTTTTCTTTCTTTTCTCCCCTTCTATTGAACCTGCACCGTACGCCATTAATGGCAATTAGGAGAGAGGCAGTAGTTGGAATGCTTCCAGCATTCTTCCAATGGAAATGAGAACTGGGTTCCACATGTGACTCGATCTTTACAGTGACAGTGGCTGGTTTAACTTTGGGCTTCAATTATGCTCAATTGTACAAACAGATTTGCACCAAGCAAGCACTTTCAGGTGCTTTAACTTCAACACCTGTCAGCTCCTAAGATCCACGAAGTTTTGCCTCACTTTTTGGAGCTGGACGCCCCTCCTGGCCCAGTGGCTCCCCTCTCCCGCACGCGTTCCGTTTCTGCCTCCCACTCCGTGCTCCTCCAATGGCTGGACCCGGGAGGCAGGGCCGCCTCAGCCTATACCAAGTCGGATACCGAAAGCAGGTGCGAGGAAAACGCCTCCGAACGCCGTCCTCTCCGTGGCTCCCACATGCACCAGGTGAGCGCCCCAGCGTTCCTCTCGAGGTCACCCTTGTTCCCTAGCCTCCACAATGGTCAGTGCAGCCCTCCAGGGCAGCCCTGTGCCTTGTCTCCCCCACGGTTCCACTTCACCGCAGCTTCCGCATCTTTCCACCCGCGCCCCGGAAGTGACGCCAGCGCGTCACGTGCGCGCCCACGGGGCGCGGAGGGCGGGGCGTGAGAGGGAGGCGGGGGCGAGGGCGGGGAGGGGACGCGCAAAGCCCGGAACCCACTGGAGCGGCGTCGGGAGGGCTGCTGTCCAGACGCGGGAGGAGCCGCTGGCGAGGTTCGGAGCGTCCGGGCCGGGGCCGCGGGGGCGCGGGCCTCACCTCGGGAGCGGGGCGGCGGCGTGCGGGCCGGGGACTGCTGGGTCATCCGTCGGCGCCGTCCACCTGGCGGGGCGCGTCGCGTCGGGGCCGCTGCCACCCTAGTCCCACGCGCGGGCCGGGCCCCGGGCCGTGCCAGCTCGCCGAGCCGTGTCCGGATTCAGCGTGGATTCCGGCGGAGGCCGCCGCTCACCACCCGCTCCCGGGTCCGCAGAAACACCTGTGGGTCGGCGGCGGGCGCGCCCGGGGCCCCTCGGGATCCCCCAGATCGCGTCAGGATGGAGGCTCGCGCCGGGGCCGGGGCGCCCGGACTTCTCCACCCGCGTTTGTCCCAGGGGACGGAAATGTCCCGGAGCAGGGAGGGCGTTCGTGGCTCTGGATTTGAAGACTTTCACCCGGTGATGGAGGGCGAAGGTGTGGAGCCGGGGCTGGGCACAGAAGTCCTTGCTTCCGAAGCGTCCTGGAGGAGAGCCCAGGGAATGCCCGGCGCGGAAGTTGGGTAGAGCAAAGGAAGAACTCAGACGCCCGGGAGAGCGGGTCATAGACAGCTGGCGGCGCCTCCGAGCCGGTGACCGGTCGCTGCGGTTAGGAAGTGTGTCAGTGGATGCGGTAGGCTCGTTTTGCCTTTGAGAAGAGTTTACACCTGGGAGTAGGTTTTTGGCTAAGGGACTTTTTTTAGAGGTCAGAAAATAGTTGTATATTTCCGTAAGCCTAAAACTACCTTTAAAAAAACCTTATGAAGAGATTGTGCTAAAAAAGTTTGCTGGAATTTCAAGTAGATTCGATTATATTGCACATCCATTTAATAAGTAACTCTAAACTTGGTGCTTGCTCGGCAAGTATTCTGCTGCTGAGCTACACCAGCCTCCCTCAGACTTTTAGGAGTTACTGATTGTTAGGCATGCAGAGGATTAGGGAATATTCAGGTGTTTACTGACCTCACGCCTCTGCTCTCGAGGAGACTGCCAGTGCAGGAGAGAGGACAGTAGAGGTTCTTAAAAAAGTAATAAGCCATGTATGCTTTCATACGGCTTCGAGGTGCTGGACACTTGCGCCGTCCCGTCGGGTGTGGAAGTTGGAAGAGGGGTGAGGGAATATCTTCTGGAAGCGTCTTGAAGAATGAGTAACGTTAGGAGTACTGTAGCCCAAAGGCGGGGAGGGGATTTTGAAGCAAGGTGAGACTGGGGGATGGGGCCAGCTAAAGGAGAAAAGGCCACTAACTACTATAAGGGAGGGAGATGCCCGTGTAGAACAGAGATGCGGGCTGAAAAAGATTTTAAACAGGGTTAGTGCATGTTTTAAATGGAACCATTTTTTTACTTATTATTTTTCTGAGGCAGAATCTGGCCATACAGTCCTGGCTACCCTGGAACTCTCTGTAGAGCCCAGTCGGACTTTGAACTTGCCTGATTCTTGCTTCAGCCTCCCTAGTGCTAGAATTATAGGTTGTGCCATCAAGCCCAACTACAATGAGATTTTAGGCAGCTGCCTTGGGCAGACTGTTGTGTGACTGACACAGATAGAACCCAGTTTTTTGTTTTGTTTTTGTACAGGGATCGAACTCAAGACCTCGTGCTTGCTTATGCTGCTGAGCTGTCTCCCCTACCGAGAGCCCAGTGTTAGCGCTTTATTATGTCCTGTCTTGTATTTTAATGTTTTCTGCTCATTAAGTCTTGGAATTGAGTATGTATTTGCTAATATAAAGGTGTCTGACTAGCTAATCTGTAAACTTCTATGGACAAAAGTTCTGTTTTTGTATCTTTTTCTTTCTCAAACCAATTTGGGCCTTCTCAGATGTTCAAGTACCTGCTGACTTGAGAATGATAAATGAATTTCTTTGATTTTCAATAGCTCAGCGGACTAAGCGCCTGGTTCAATCCCTGGCCCCATATTCTGCACCAGGCTGCCCCCAGGGCACGCAGAGCCAGCAGTGGAGTCCAGGCATGGTGGTACACGCTTGTAATCCCAGCGCTGGGGAGGCTGAAAACAGGAGGATCATTGAGTCGGAGCTGTGTAGTGAGACCCTGCACCAAATACATTAAAAAAAAAAGTTTCTATTGGTATAAAGAACTAAGATCCCATTGAATTTATTTGTGTCAGTGTTTAGTTAGTGATGTAGAATTTGTCTTAATTGTGTTTAACTTTTGCCACTTTTTTGTTTGGTTGGTTGTATTGAGGATTGAACCCAGGACCTTTACACTCAGTTATGCTCTCAGCACTCCCCCAGCCCCCCAGTGCCTTTATTTTGAGACAGGGTGTGGCTCGGTTGCTTGGGTTAGGCTTGAATTTGTGTGCTGGGATTACAGGGGTGTGTGTGCCATTATTGCTGGGTGCCACAGGTGTGTTTACTGGTTGTAAGGTAAGTGTCTTTAGCAGAGATGACCTCCACCTAGAATGTGGGAGATGCCTGTGTAGCCCAACACTGGCCCACAGCAGAGTGCTACAGAGTGTCTTCTTAATTTCACAGTATGTGGCAGGTACATGCTTTGAGAGTCTTGTTAAATGCTCATCTCTGTCATAGAGCCCCGTAGAAGCTTGATGCAGGTTAGTTCATATGGCTGAAATGCCCGGAATCATTAAACCTGGGAAACAGCAGTGGACTTCTCTTTATCTCAGTAAATATTATTTAACTAGTACTTTATTTGATGTTTGTATAAAGTTCCTAAAGTGCTTTAAGAAAAGGCTGTGTTGTTTTTGTTTTTGTTTTTTCTTTTTGGTGTTGAAGTTCAAACTCAAGGCCTTGCTTTGTGCAGCTGAACTATGTCAGCGTTGAGCTATTCCCTGACCCTGAGTTTTAAGTTTATTTTCCCAAATGACAGGAAGGCATTTACTACAATAGCCAAAGCAGGAATGTAGCTAGAGCCTTTGGACTTCTAAATTTTATAGTGTTTTTACCTTCAAGAATAGTGTTAGCAAAACAAAAAAGAAAAAGTGGGGAGCTGGGGAGATGGCTCAGTGGAATAAGTGTTTCCCTGGCAAGCGCAAGGGCCTGAGTTCAATCCCTGGTTCCGCAAAAAAAAAAAAAAAAAAAGGAAAAAAGAAAGAAAGAAAAGAATAGTGTTAGCACCTGTTGTGGTGCATATACCACCACCAGCACTTGGGAGGCTGAGGCAAGAGGATCGTTGTGAGTTCAAGACCAGCCTAAGCTACAAAGTGAGCTTATAGGCTAGCCTGAACTGTATAGCAAGACCTTGTCTAAAAAAAAAAAAAAAAGGAACATGCCATACACAGAATATGATAGGAGCATACAAAAATTCTGTTGAATCACTTTTGAAGCCAGGCTGTTAAAACTCCTATTCAAAATAAATGCACAGTTGTAATTTCATTTATGGAGATTTGGTATGTATCTTAAAATTAAAAATAACTTCTAAGAAATATTTGTTTTTTTTTTTTTTATTTATTGTGTGTGTGTGTGGCCAGCTCAGCCCACCAGGGGGCGGGGCTGGCTGGCATGTGGTGCTGGGGGATCGAACCGCGGTCCTTGTGCTTTGCCAAGCTTGTTTCAAGTAGGTGCTTTAGACCACTGAGCCATCTCTCCAGCCCCTCTAAGAAATATTTGTATAAGGATATATTTATGGTTTTCTGTGTACTCTCAAACATAAAGTTTTACTTTTGTAGTTCCTAAATAACATGTAATTGTTAGAATTTTCTACTTTAAAAAATATTGGTTAAAAAAGTTTTTTTCTTCTTTCTTTAGGAAGCACTTTGGGCACATTTACAAATGCCTTTAAAAGTTGAACTCATGGACTAATGTGCCTGCTTAGGCAGGCGCAGGGACTGGGGTTCCATCCTGACAGGGGTTCCATCCTGACATGCCATGCTGGTCATGCCCTTGGGGCACGTTGAGACAGCAATTTGAGATTGAGTGTGGTGGTGCACACCTGTAATCCCAGTGCTTGGGAGACTGAAAACAGGAGGATCACTACGAGTCTGATCTGTATAGTGAGACCCTGTGGACCCTGTATGTACTAAATACATTAAAAAAAAACAAACCAAAACTCATATGCTTATCTGGCAAGCACAAGGTTGTGGGTTCAATCAGTAGTGAATTCTCCAGTACTGGGGGAAAAATACAAAAATTGAACTCATAAAACTTTTTCTTTTATGTATTTGGTACAGGTTCTTACTATGCAGCTCGGACTTTAGTGATCCTCCTGTTTTCAGCTTCCCCAGCACTAGGATTGCAAGTGTGTGCCACCATGCCTGGTCTTGGTGGCCAGCTCAGTGTGCCTGGGAATGTGGCTGGTGCAGACTGTGGTGCAGGGGATTGAACCCCACTCCCTGCGCTTGCCTAAGCAGGTGCTTAGTCCGCTGAGCTATCTTCAGCGAACATTTACGTTTTGGTTTTTTTTTTTTGGCGGAACCAAGGATTGAACTCAGGCTCTTGCGCTTGCCAGGGAAGTGCTTATTCCACTGAGCCATCTCCCCGGCCCATTCAGTGAACATTTACAAATAAACATTCATAAAATGTTTATTAGTGAACAAAAGGTCTTATTAGGCCATAATTTTTTCACATGGAATATATCAAAGAGCACATCTTGTTTATAATGTGTGGCTCACAAAGATAAGTACAAGAGTGGTATACATAGATAAGTGGGTGTTGAGTATAGGCCTGGGAAAAATTAAGGTAGAAGCAAGAATGAGTCCCTACACGAAGTACTGAAGTCTTAAGCATTTGTAAGAGGCCACAGGTTTGGCTTTGCTTTTCAGTTGTTCAGAGAAAAATTTAATCATTTACATGGTTCAATGACCCTAGGAGGAAAGTTGCCAGTTCTTCTGAATTCCCAAAGATTCCTGTAGCGGGACATTCCTTAGCTACATCTTTAAGGAAGTGGCCTGCAATTCAAAAGACTAGGTTATGTTTTTGTAAACCCTGCCTTCCCTCATTGTACAGGCTGGTGACATAACATGAAAACATAATTCAGTCAGAGCAATTCTGTGGGGTAGAATGACCCAATCCAAACATTTATTAGTGATTAAAAGATGTTTTAGATTAGGTGCATTGGATACTCTTCAGACTACTCTATCATCCCTACATATTTTGTTGCTCAGTGGAGCTTCAGTATTGAATTTATCAGCAGTGTAGTTGGAGGAGGTGCTTTCTGACAGGTTCCTTGAGTACATCTCTTTCGTGGTGTTGTCTGATCACAGAGCCATATGCTTTGGCGGTTCTTTATTAGGGCTGTGTGAACATGGAGGAGGCACCAGGGACTCCTGTGAATGAAAGCCGCCTTACCTCCATGTGCAGATGGGCTGAGGGGGTACCAGAGCACAGATCTTCCCAAGGCAGGCTTTGGGATCTTGAGAAGCCCAAAAGTGGAATTCATTTTTAAGATGAGCTCAGATCTACTCATTTTAGATAAAATGTCCAGTAAGAATCTCTGTTTTGCTCAAACCGAAGAGTTGCTTTTTCAAGTAATTATAGGTCACATCTGTCCAGTGTAGCGTGGACCCTGTGACAGAGGCGGGTCTTGTTCATTCTTCCTTGGTAAACAGTGGGCGGGCTGTCCTTGCCTAAATATAGTTAGGTAATGTTGTGTTCCTTAATTGCATTTCCCTATAGCTTTTGACATTGTGTTTTACATGTGTTCCTGAAAAGGGAGTTGGGC